ATTTAATACTTTTCACCGGGTACTGTATAGTTCCCGATTTGTATATTCCACGTTTTTTTATTATTATTATTATTGTAATTTCTTAATATTGTAGTCTCCCAATATTGTACTGACGTCCTTTTTAATGCAACGCTTTTTCAAAATTTTAGTAGATAGAATCATAAAAAGCTCGCCAAAAAAAATGTTTTAATACATTAATTTATCATTAACAGCCATTTTTGTTAATGTTTTTCTTAGATTTATTTAGATTCATCTATATTGAAAGGTACGTTACGTTATTTCATATTAACTAGATAACATATTTTTACATTATTTTGCTAAATGTCAACTTCTTCCATGTAATCATGTTTTTAAATGGCTTTGTAATTTTTCTCTTATTACTTTTTCGTGTGATTGTACATTATATGTTGTGTTTGAACGCACCGGTCACCGTGACAGGCCCTGAGACATAATTCGAGTTACGTCATTACAATTAATTTGTTCAATTTTAAATGACGTAATATAATTACTTTACATTACATGCCGTTGAAATCGTTTTGAAAGTTAGATTTTGTATTTTTTGAGTAGTAATATATATTTTGTTTTTTTTTTATTTTTTGACATTTGTTACGGCCAAAATAAAAGTGGCGGCCTGTCACAATTCGCGCATGTGGAACGTGTGTGAAGTTTTGTAAGATTTGGAGCTGGTTGAGGTTGTTAGCTGTCATTAAACATGTATGTAACTGTATTTATGTATATCACTCAGACATGGCTTCTATGTACGTTCTATCTATTCTATTATTATGTTAGCAATCGATGGATTTATAAGGAAAAGTTTTAATAAAAAATATTATGAAATTTACTTGTATTTTTTATTTTGTTTTGTACCTTTTGTGCATTCCTTTGCTAGTGGAATTTCTACGCGGTCACATCACGGAGGTTCAATGAAATAAAAATGCTGTTACCTTTGGAAGTAGGCTTTATTTGGTATGCGCACTTACACCGGTCATCGCACGTCTTCTGTATTGTATGGGGGTGTGGATAAAAGGTTTTATTTGACCATCCATCCGTCTTATAATTCGAGGACTATAGTAGGTACTAATTGATAGTGCCGTAAAACAAAAATGCAAAGACGTCTCGTCTGAGCCCTGGGTTTTTGTGCAACTTTTGGATTACCTTGTTAAAAGTTTATCCTTTGATTATAAGAGTATATCCATGCTAAATAATCATATACTTTATTATTACAATAAATGCCCCTGCGCTAAGTCAGTCTTATATTGCAGCGACCTGCTCCATTACTGTCGAAAGCAATCGCGACTGATCGATATTGCAATGAAGAAGTATTTAAAAAAAACGAAAGCACTAAAAATGCACTTCCACTAGATGGCGACTCTAGTAAAAGTTAATTTTTGCAGGAAACGAATGGACAAAGACATTTATTTCCGTTCCTATTAACTAACATATTAAAAACTGAAATTTGAAAAGTTCGAAACTTAGATATCAATACAAATACGAAAAAGTACAAATAAAATATGAGTTGTTTATTGAGTTTGGAAAACTAATTTACTTTTAAACATGAAAGAAAACAGGAAAGGTTGTCATAAAGAAATCAAAAACATACCGTGGCGACATCTAGTTAGATTTCGGGAACTAATGTTTTTTTTAAATACTTCCTCATTGTGCCGTTTCATACTTTTGATTGGGTCCACTAGCGCCAGAGTATGAGTTTGGAAGTAAGGGGCTGATTTAAAATTCTAAGATATGAACTTTCCCAATTATGTTTGTTTACAAAAATGAATTAAAAATTTATGTGCACAACACTTGCAAGAAAATCAAGGTAAAAAATTATTAAACATTTGCCGAGTTTTCTTTTGGACTTAAAATAACTTATAAATAGATTCTGATTAGCCTCTAATTCAAATTAAAAAAGGTTTAATCTAATGAATCGACTGACTAAACACAAATTTTGTCTTATAAAGATTTTTGCAAATCTATACTTTTCACCGAGTGGAAATACAAATTTTTCATCGCAGTGCTCTCATGCCCGCGGCCTAGAAAAGCGGTCTGCTCTTTTATAAACATAAAATTTTTATTCATATCAATTCTGAAGTAGATAGAGGCTAACGAGAAGCATCGTCAGAAGAGAGAACATCCAAACTAGGAAAGCCTTGGCAACTGCTGTTGAACCCCCTGTAATGTACATCTAGAGAATGGGTTTCTAAAATGGATTAAAACTCAGACAAAAAATGATTAATTTGTTAAATAAAAATTAAGATCGGATAATTTTAAAGGGGAACTTTTTATTAAAGCTTTTTAAAAACAATAGGAGAAAATCTGTTTATTATAATAAGAGTTCCGAGGTATAACCCTTACGGCTCTCCACTAACAGTCGAGAGAACCCAACAAACCAATAAGGAAACCAAGCATAAACGACATGTTACATAGTTGTCACAACTGCGGTGTTGAATTCACTAGTCACGTAGATCCCATGGGCCTGCACGAGTGACACGGCACACATAAATAATTAATGCTCACGTGGCACGTTTTACAGCCATTATGCAGCTAAGACGTCTCCAACTTTGTTAATATTATCCTCAATATTATTGGATTCGAGTCATTCATAGTTTCGTTAATGATGTAATTCGTTGCCAAAATATCACAAAGCCTCATATAAAATTCTCGCTAGATAGCGCTGGTACTAAAAATCTTATATTTTATGGGCTACATTATTGGTTTTTGAGACAGGACAGTAAAAGCATTCCTAGAAGACGTTTCTAGAGGCAGCTTTAGGGGTGGCGAAACAAAAAACCCGCCTTCGTGAAAAACAATTGACTGAAAAGGAAGGAACAAGATAAAGAAAATATGCCACATCATACAAAACATGCAGTCCTTGTACTGAACCCTTTAATTTGATACCCATATTATAGTATTTGAAAGAATAAAAAATCATTTAACATAGTGGGCCACACAGCCACCATATTGGATTTTTTTATCTAAGAACACTTGGGCAATTAAGACAAATCTAGCGATATCTCAAGTATCTAAATCCGTCCTGCGGTTCTGAAAATATGTTATAAAGAATATTACATACATACAGTCGGGTAAAAATAGTTTATATAGAAATAAATTACGTTAGTAGCTAACTGTATTAATACTTTTTACCGATAATAAATAAGAGAAAGTAGTATATTTTTTAATTTTGTGGATTTCTATGATGTAATTTTCAGAAATGCTCAACCATGAAAATTCTTTCACTTACAATAAGCTATAGTATAAAGGGTTCGACGACGAGCTCGAGGCTGTTTTTATAACAGAATAGCAATACTGATGTGCTGTTGACTGTGTGTATCAGAATTATATCTGGCTCGTTCCGCTCCGCGTGTCGCAATGCGGATCTTTTTTAAGGTTTCGTAGTAAATTAAGAACCCTTGTCGCCATGTCCGTCTGTCCGTCCATGCGCGGTTTAGCTCAAAAACTATAAGTAGTAAAAGGTTGTTATTTGGACCCCTGTTGTGGAGTTGTATCGATCTGATCTTGGCAGATTAACAGAAACAAAATGACAACTGCATTTGATAAGTAATTTCAATTTATTTTTTAATATTATAATACAATTTAATTACATTTTGCCAGCCTCAACAAAATGTAAACTTTTACATACCAAGATACACATAATACTTGTATTATTATACATTTTAAATTTATTAACACAACGTTAATAACACAGTTAGAATGTCGATTAAAGAAATTTAGCAACACTAATATAAAGATACTACGATAATTATCTATTTAAATAGTTTTTTTTTTATTTATCTATTCTATCTAAACTTTCTATTTAACATATTTTATAATATACTATTAATCATAAACAACGAGACGCCTTATATATCAACACCAATTCAACATATTTAGAAAATATATATTTTTATGGAATAAAAATATACAGTTATCTCAGTTGAAATAGAATATTTTTTTTGAATTTTTTGACTAGATTCGGACCAGTTTGTTAGGTAAATACCGAAAAAAAAACAAATATATACAAATTATACATATTCATAATAGACAAAATAGACAACAAGTACCTACCAATTTTGTTAAGACTAAAATATGTATATTATTTTATTAAATTATTCTAATACACAACAGTTGATGGCGGACTAAGGTCGGCGGATGGTGTACTAGGCAAGCGCCTCATTGAAGACCCTTCTTCTTTTAGTCAGATACTAACTTATACAAAAAAAAACATAATATACTTCTTCTTAAGCTTTTTTATCATGCACCAGTAGGTTTAGTTATAGTCTCAGTCATATGGTTAAGTAGAATAAAAGAACATATTAAGAAATTAAAAATATTTTGAAATTTCATATAGAAATATTAAAATATCATATTTAATATTTATTAATATTTTTTTGTATATTTGATTCGAAGTGAACAAACTGTAGATATTTATAAAAAATGTCATAGACATCCGCGTACAGAAGGTATATCATACCAAGCAAAGTGTTTATTAGACATCTCTTTATCTACGATGTTACCAGGTCAAAAAAAATAAAAATTATATGTGAATATGATTTGTAAAGGAAACAGTATAATTTTTTGCACAATTCCCTTTTTTTACTGTACATGAATTATGATTCGTAATTTTGCACACTGACCTCTATTTTTGTTGATTTGTTAGATATTTTGTAAATTATTTGCCTGGAAGAGATCGCTGTTTAGCTATAAGGCTGCCTACTGTACAACATATATATATTGTTGTTTGTAATTTTTTTGTTGTGCACTAGAGCGTAATATAAATAGTACATAGGCACATACCTAGTTTGCTTCAAAAATCATCCGCCGCTAAAAAGTAATTAAGAATTAATTCAGCTATGAGATATTGGAAGTACAATAGTAATTATGTATTTTTAGCTCAAATCGTTTATTATCTTATAATAAGTGGCAAAGTCGTTTCTTAATATATAGTACAGGATATGTAATTTTGAGAAGTCTCAGTATGTGTTTCAGAGTTCCGGTGAAGACCCTTAGTTGGGCAGATCACCTTCAAGACTGGATTCTGGAAAATAAAATAAATATTTACTTATTAGTTATACATGTAGATACAGCTTATCACCGACAAAAATAACGACTTCTGTTTATAAAAATTAAACAGGTGCGGATAGTAAATTTCATTTTCACAATTGCTGAAACAAGTAAGTATTTACTGTTTTTTATCAAAAACCCAAAAAAATAATATGATTCATGTTTTTAACTTAAAAAATTACGAATTACGAATGAATTTCCATTCACCATTACATCCCCTTCCACCTCTTGAATTAGTTAAAATCGGTTCATTCGTCGTGAAAGTTTAACGGACAGACAGCCAGAGTTTTAGGTGTAGTGGTGACGTGTGGGCTATGATCGAGGAAATTAAACAACTTTCAAAAAGGTTAGTAGGGGAATGGGTGCCCAAAAATATATTATCTCATAATCCTCGGTGCTTTGGAAGACAAGTGAAGCTGTTCCTGACTGCATCTATAGTCATAATCACCCACCAATTAATCACTTAGATCGTGTGATAATAAGTTGGTTCTCGCTTTTCCGTTCTTGGGGAAATGCCCATCAGTAGAATAATTAAAAGCTGAACTTTGAAAGCTATAACAAGAAATGGCTATCTATCTGTCAAATTATTGCTTAGAAAAATTTACTTTTTAATGTTGATATAATACTTTTAAGTATAAATAGGCAGAGGTAAGAGTAGGTACTGGAAATCTTATGTGGCATTGTGAATTTAAAAATATAAAGAACTAGGTAAACTTAGGCGATTTAGTTCAAAAGCTTAACACTAATCCAATATCCTTCACTTGTTTTGTTATCGCAATTCAACCCAGCTTAATGGAAATTTTAACTATGATATTTACACCTACAATATACTTATATTTCCTGAAATGTAATTAGTGGCATAATATTATTATCTTACCATCCGTCCATTTCTTGCCACGCATCCCGACAAAGCCCATTTGGGTCCTCCGCTTCGGCCATGGACTATTAGAGCCGAGCAAAAACCTGATCTCGTGAGCGCCGCTATTCTTCAAGTCCTTCTTGCCCCTCACACCAATGAATTTACCTCTAAACGTAAGGTCATAAGGTCGCTTATTTTGAATAGATTTCTTTCCGCGCACACCGAAGAACTGATGTATATTAGCCGCTCGCTTGTCTACTTCATTGGAGATCCGCTCGTATTCTTCGCCAGTATCAGGAATTTCTGTGGTCTGCTCTGTTTCTTCGGCTTTCTGTAAATACTTGTTAAGAAGCTCTCTGAATAAAGGAAAATCGTAATTGATTTGGTCATTCTCGTCGCTGGATGTGTAATCGATCTGTCCTATCAAGGATCCCCTCTTTGGCCCAAGTTCGTATCCCGGATAGGTTTCCGGCAGAAAAAACTCTTTTTTCCCTCTCATACCGACGAAGCCCATAGGGCCTCTTTTTTCTTCGCTATCAAGGAGGTCGAATATGTTCTTTTTGCCTTTGACGCCGACGAAAAATTGTGGCTTCCTTTTGTAAAACTGCTCGGTGGATTCGGATTCGAACTTCTTGCCTCGCATACCCAGGAAGCCTTGCGGCACTCGTTTTTGCACTTCTTGGCCTGATATCGCGTAGATTAATTGATTATAAGAGTATATCCATGCTAAATAATCATATACTTTATTATTACAATAAATGCCCCTGCGCTAAGTCAGTCTTATATTGCAGCGACCTGCTCCATTACTGTCGAAAGCAATCGCGACTGATCGATATTGCAATGAAGAAGTATTTAAAAAAAACGAAAGCACTAAAAATGCACTTCCACTAGATGGCGACTCTAGTAAAAGTTAATTTTTGCAGGAAACGAATGGACAAAGACATTTATTTCCGTTCCTATTAACTAACATATTAAAAACTGAAATTTGAAAAGTTCGAAACTTAGATATCAATACAAATACGAAAAAGTACAAATAAAATATGAGTTGTTTATTGAGTTTGGAAAACTAATTTACTTTTAAACATGAAAGAAAACAGGAAAGGTTGTCATAAAGAAATCAAAAACATACCGTGGCGACATCTAGTTAGATTTCGGGAACTAATGTTTTTTTTAAATACTTCCTCATTGTGCCGTTTCATACTTTTGATTGGGTCCACTAGCGCCAGAGTATGAGTTTGGAAGTAAGGGGCTGATTTAAAATTCTAAGATATGAACTTTCCCAATTATGTTTGTTTACAAAAATGAATTAAAAATTTATGTGCACAACACTTGCAAGAAAATCAAGGTAAAAAATTATTAAACATTTGCCGAGTTTTCTTTTGGACTTAAAATAACTTATAAATAGATTCTGATTAGCCTCTAATTCAAATTAAAAAAGGTTTAATCTAATGAATCGACTGACTAAACACAAATTTTGTCTTATAAAGATTTTTGCAAATCTATACTTTTCACCGAGTGGAAATACAAATTTTTCATCGCAGTGCTCTCATGCCCGCGGCCTAGAAAAGCGGTCTGCTCTTTTATAAACATAAAATTTTTATTCATATCAATTCTGAAGTAGATAGAGGCTAACGAGAAGCATCGTCAGAAGAGAGAACATCCAAACTAGGAAAGCCTTGGCAACTGCTGTTGAACCCCCTGTAATGTACATCTAGAGAATGGGTTTCTAAAATGGATTAAAACTCAGACAAAAAATGATTAATTTGTTAAATAAAAATTAAGATCGGATAATTTTAAAGGGGAACTTTTTATTAAAGCTTTTTAAAAACAATAGGAGAAAATCTGTTTATTATAATAAGAGTTCCGAGGTATAACCCTTACGGCTCTCCACTAACAGTCGAGAGAACCCAACAAACCAATAAGGAAACCAAGCATAAACGACATGTTACATAGTTGTCACAACTGCGGTGTTGAATTCACTAGTCACGTAGATCCCATGGGCCTGCACGAGTGACACGGCACACATAAATAATTAATGCTCACGTGGCACGTTTTACAGCCATTATGCAGCTAAGACGTCTCCAACTTTGTTAATATTATCCTCAATATTATTGGATTCGAGTCATTCATAGTTTCGTTAATGATGTAATTCGTTGCCAAAATATCACAAAGCCTCATATAAAATTCTCGCTAGATAGCGCTGGTACTAAAAATCTTATATTTTATGGGCTACATTATTGGTTTTTGAGACAGGACAGTAAAAGCATTCCTAGAAGACGTTTCTAGAGGCAGCTTTAGGGGTGGCGAAACAAAAAACCCGCCTTCGTGAAAAACAATTGACTGAAAAGGAAGGAACAAGATAAAGAAAATATGCCACATCATACAAAACATGCAGTCCTTGTACTGAACCCTTTAATTTGATACCCATATTATAGTATTTGAAAGAATAAAAAATCATTTAACATAGTGGGCCACACAGCCACCATATTGGATTTTTTTATCTAAGAACACTTGGGCAATTAAGACAAATCTAGCGATATCTCAAGTATCTAAATCCGTCCTGCGGTTCTGAAAATATGTTATAAAGAATATTACATACATACAGTCGGGTAAAAATAGTTTATATAGAAATAAATTACGTTAGTAGCTAACTGTATTAATACTTTTTACCGATAATAAATAAGAGAAAGTAGTATATTTTTTAATTTTGTGGATTTCTATGATGTAATTTTCAGAAATGCTCAACCATGAAAATTCTTTCACTTACAATAAGCTATAGTATAAAGGGTTCGACGACGAGCTCGAGGCTGTTTTTATAACAGAATAGCAATACTGATGTGCTGTTGACTGTGTGTATCAGAATTATATCTGGCTCGTTCCGCTCCGCGTGTCGCAATGCGGATCTTTTTTAAGGTTTCGTAGTAAATTAAGAACCCTTGTCGCCATGTCCGTCTGTCCGTCCATGCGCGGTTTAGCTCAAAAACTATAAGTAGTAAAAGGTTGTTATTTGGACCCCTGTTGTGGAGTTGTATCGATCTGATCTTGGCAGATTAACAGAAACAAAATGACAACTGCATTTGATAAGTAATTTCAATTTATTTTTTAATATTATAATACAATTTAATTACATTTTGCCAGCCTCAACAAAATGTAAACTTTTACATACCAAGATACACATAATACTTGTATTATTATACATTTTAAATTTATTAACACAACGTTAATAACACAGTTAGAATGTCGATTAAAGAAATTTAGCAACACTAATATAAAGATACTACGATAATTATCTATTTAAATAGTTTTTTTTTTATTTATCTATTCTATCTAAACTTTCTATTTAACATATTTTATAATATACTATTAATCATAAACAACGAGACGCCTTATATATCAACACCAATTCAACATATTTAGAAAATATATATTTTTATGGAATAAAAATATACAGTTATCTCAGTTGAAATAGAATATTTTTTTTGAATTTTTTGACTAGATTCGGACCAGTTTGTTAGGTAAATACCGAAAAAAAAACAAATATATACAAATTATACATATTCATAATAGACAAAATAGACAACAAGTACCTACCAATTTTGTTAAGACTAAAATATGTATATTATTTTATTAAATTATTCTAATACACAACAGTTGATGGCGGACTAAGGTCGGCGGATGGTGTACTAGGCAAGCGCCTCATTGAAGACCCTTCTTCTTTTAGTCAGATACTAACTTATACAAAAAAAAACATAATATACTTCTTCTTAAGCTTTTTTATCATGCACCAGTAGGTTTAGTTATAGTCTCAGTCATATGGTTAAGTAGAATAAAAGAACATATTAAGAAATTAAAAATATTTTGAAATTTCATATAGAAATATTAAAATATCATATTTAATATTTATTAATATTTTTTTGTATATTTGATTCGAAGTGAACAAACTGTAGATATTTATAAAAAATGTCATAGACATCCGCGTACAGAAGGTATATCATACCAAGCAAAGTGTTTATTAGACATCTCTTTATCTACGATGTTACCAGGTCAAAAAAAATAAAAATTATATGTGAATATGATTTGTAAAGGAAACAGTATAATTTTTTGCACAATTCCCTTTTTTTACTGTACATGAATTATGATTCGTAATTTTGCACACTGACCTCTATTTTTGTTGATTTGTTAGATATTTTGTAAATTATTTGCCTGGAAGAGATCGCTGTTTAGCTATAAGGCTGCCTACTGTACAACATATATATATTGTTGTTTGTAATTTTTTTGTTGTGCACTAGAGCGTAATATAAATAGTACATAGGCACATACCTAGTTTGCTTCAAAAATCATCCGCCGCTAAAAAGTAATTAAGAATTAATTCAGCTATGAGATATTGGAAGTACAATAGTAATTATGTATTTTTAGCTCAAATCGTTTATTATCTTATAATAAGTGGCAAAGTCGTTTCTTAATATATAGTACAGGATATGTAATTTTGAGAAGTCTCAGTATGTGTTTCAGAGTTCCGGTGAAGACCCTTAGTTGGGCAGATCACCTTCAAGACTGGATTCTGGAAAATAAAATAAATATTTACTTATTAGTTATACATGTAGATACAGCTTATCACCGACAAAAATAACGACTTCTGTTTATAAAAATTAAACAGGTGCGGATAGTAAATTTCATTTTCACAATTGCTGAAACAAGTAAGTATTTACTGTTTTTTATCAAAAACCCAAAAAAATAATATGATTCATGTTTTTAACTTAAAAAATTACGAATTACGAATGAATTTCCATTCACCATTACATCCCCTTCCACCTCTTGAATTAGTTAAAATCGGTTCATTCGTCGTGAAAGTTTAACGGACAGACAGCCAGAGTTTTAGGTGTAGTGGTGACGTGTGGGCTATGATCGAGGAAATTAAACAACTTTCAAAAAGGTTAGTAGGGGAATGGGTGCCCAAAAATATATTATCTCATAATCCTCGGTGCTTTGGAAGACAAGTGAAGCTGTTCCTGACTGCATCTATAGTCATAATCACCCACCAATTAATCACTTAGATCGTGTGATAATAAGTTGGTTCTCGCTTTTCCGTTCTTGGGGAAATGCCCATCAGTAGAATAATTAAAAGCTGAACTTTGAAAGCTATAACAAGAAATGGCTATCTATCTGTCAAATTATTGCTTAGAAAAATTTACTTTTTAATGTTGATATAATACTTTTAAGTATAAATAGGCAGAGGTAAGAGTAGGTACTGGAAATCTTATGTGGCATTGTGAATTTAAAAATATAAAGAACTAGGTAAACTTAGGCGATTTAGTTCAAAAGCTTAACACTAATCCAATATCCTTCACTTGTTTTGTTATCGCAATTCAACCCAGCTTAATGGAAATTTTAACTATGATATTTACACCTACAATATACTTATATTTCCTGAAATGTAATTAGTGGCATAATATTATTATCTTACCATCCGTCCATTTCTTGCCACGCATCCCGACAAAGCCCATTTGGGTCCTCCGCTTCGGCCATGGACTATTAGAGCCGAGCAAAAACCTGATCTCGTGAGCGCCGCTATTCTTCAAGTCCTTCTTGCCCCTCACACCAATGAATTTACCTCTAAACGTAAGGTCATAAGGTCGCTTATTTTGAATAGATTTCTTTCCGCGCACACCGAAGAACTGATGTATATTAGCCGCTCGCTTGTCTACTTCATTGGAGATCCGCTCGTATTCTTCGCCAGTATCAGGAATTTCTGTGGTCTGCTCTGTTTCTTCGGCTTTCTGTAAATACTTGTTAAGAAGCTCTCTGAATAAAGGAAAATCGTAATTGATTTGGTCATTCTCGTCGCTGGATGTGTAATCGATCTGTCCTATCAAGGATCCCCTCTTTGGCCCAAGTTCGTATCCCGGATAGGTTTCCGGCAGAAAAAACTCTTTTTTCCCTCTCATACCGACGAAGCCCATAGGGCCTCTTTTTTCTTCGCTATCAAGGAGGTCGAATATGTTCTTTTTGCCTTTGACGCCGACGAAAAATTGTGGCTTCCTTTTGTAAAACTGCTCGGTGGATTCGGATTCGAACTTCTTGCCTCGCATACCCAGGAAGCCTTGCGGCACTCGTTTTTGCACTTCTTGGCCTGATATCGCGTAGATTAATTGTATGGCGATGAAGAGGAAGTATTTCCGAGATCTATCCATATTTGAGCGACCTGAAACAAATAACACATTCAATTAACATCACTTTAGGGACAGGCATAGGTAAAAGGTGTGTATTAGCAGTTTTATCTATATTTAAAGGGTGTCTTTTCTGAGAGACTATAATATTTTAAGACAACACTTTACATTATTCTTTTTGTCGATCGATGAGTACCCAAACTAAGTATGGTAGGGAGACCCCTGGCCGCACGGAATTACAGCGCAGCTCATACCGCAATATTAAATAGGTTTAAAAAAGCTTGTTTATAACAAAGGATATCTATCACGATATCCCGACACGATTTATAAACGGATTAACATCCATATAAAAGAGAAAGATATGATTCGACCCACTGGATTTCTAAAAATTCATTGTCTTTTGTTATCTGTTTAAAAAGATACACGTCGACTTAAAAAAATCCTCCTTTTTTTACAGATTTAAAAATAGGAGTGAATTTTGGCTTTGGGGTCGGGAAGAGTAAATTATAAATACAGGAATAATAATTATTAATAATATTTAATAAATAATAATTATTTATTTGCTTTTAAATGAGGTACATTGTAGATTGAATTAAAATTTGAGTTCAGCCCATTTAGCCATCAGCTATAGCATGCAAATATTGATAAAATTACAAAGTCACATTGGATATATGTATGTCAAAATTATTAAATTATAAATATCATTATTACATAAAACTATTATAGAGTACAATAATCATTCCCACTTGAAGAATATCAAACAAATTAAATTATAAAATCAGTATCAATATAAAAGTAGATAATGTCTAATTGAAGAAAAACATTAAAAAAATACAAAAATATCACACATTTAAAGACATTACACAATTCTCAACATATGCATTCGTTACTTATTTTTATGATTTAAATATTAAAACTATCTATATAAAAATATTTCTGTGTTTAAATAGGTTTATATATTCAAGCAACTTGCGAAAGCCGGGCGGGGGTTTTATTTGTATTGTTATATTTAAATAAGTTTTTTTAAGATATCTTGAATTCGGTTCTGGATATCATTCTATTCTTTTTAGTGATATGTCCGACTTATATATTTCCTTTGCTATAAAAATATACCAGACGCCATAAGGCAAACCATACACGTAATTGACCGGATATTTATTTCAAAAATGCGGAATTTATACATAATTTTTTTTAAGTATTGCACTCAACAATATATTTTTAACCATTCATTTTATTTATATACCTATTAGGTTTATATTACCGTTACCGATTCATATGTAATTCCTATACTAATATATTAGTTATTTTTACTTTTAAAGTTTTATCATAACAATCACTGAACAATACTCAAACAACTAAAAACTAGATGACACTTGTCATCGCTGTCATTACCTGAGTGCTGTGCGAAAGCGAAAGAAATATATAAATGTGGGAAGTGTGAAAGAGATGATGTTTCAGCTAATGAGCGTCTGCCATCCCTCGTCAAAACTTAAAAGCCATCGTAACAGTGTAGTGAATGTGTAGCCAGTAGATGATAATAAATTCTAGTTTCAGATTTAATGTCCAGAAGGGGGACAATAATTCAAATAGTTCTATATAGTAGTTCCTGAGATTTTGGAGTTCAATCAAACAAACAAATAACTCTTCAGCTTTATTATTAGTGTACAATAGATGTAATACAACTATATTCTTAAAACACTGACCGTAACATAACTGTGGCTTATTGAAAAAGTTGGTTTTGTTTCATGTACTTTGCCCACAACCACGTCAGTTAGTGGCTTTGAGATGTAAATTAATCTTAAAATGCATCTTTGAATATTTTTTTTTGAGAAATGTTTTCGAAATCATAAAGCGAAATTGTTTATGCTATTCTAAAGTTGTTCAACGTTATAAGCCTTGTTGCTGTTCAGAAAAAATAGGTGTGCATTCAAATACATAATGAGACAGACAATAGTTCGCCTTCATGTTTACCGGGTTCAGATAGACGGACAAACGGATATTCCTATCGCCCACCCATAATATACATGCCCATAACTTTTTATGAAATAAAACATAAACACAGTACAACGCTGTGGGCGCGGTAACGCATTTCTTAAATATCTATATCAATATATTTAATAACTTAAACGCTACAAATAACAGTCGATCAAAACGGTTTAATGTCGGCTCCTTTTATAATTTACAGTCCGCAGAAAGTCCTTTACGGGATAAATGTGAGCGGGACTCCGTCACAATGTCCCCGCAATAATACGTACACAATCTACCCCCACCGGATTCAATCTACGAACTGCCCTCCTATCAGAATTCATTGTCGGAAATACGATAGATATTTGAACATTTTATGTCCAATGATGCTAGTATTTATTTCCTTATTTCTTTCTCGTTCAGTCGATAACATTAATGAAAGTCCGTTTTCATAAAACGCGCTATTCCAGGAAATTTAAGCATAGTTATTAGTATTATACAATCTCCTACGCTATCCAGCGGTAGGATGAGAGAAGAAGGTTCGAAAATAAGGCAGGAAATAAGCTTGAATAGTTTATTTAGGGTAAAGGAAAAAGCTAGAGATAGCGAGATTCCGATAATTTAAGGTATTGTTATAATAAACATTTATGTTATTACTACTGCACTCTTTTTTAAATTACCGATCTTTGGTACAAAAAATATTAAAGACAAATTTGAAAAATTGATTTAAAATAACGAAATAGGCATAATAAAGATGATCAAACGAACTTTTAACAAATGAAGATAGATTTCAAAATTAAATTAGCAGCTTCGTTCTTCATTCGATTTAAGTAAGAACACTGTCGACCAGTTGGACAAATGTTTATTAGGTTTTATTGAAGATTTTAAGCTCTAATCAGCATCACCAGCCCTTTTACGTCCCCACTGCAGGGGCTCAGGCCTTCCTTATGTATGGTTAACGAGGTTGGGCCATGACCCTCCACGCTGGCCCAATACGGATTGGAGGGTATTAAGCTCTAATGAACGTTCTTAATTTGAAAATTTGTATGAGTAATGTCGCTTTAAACTAATAAAAAACATAATGATCGTTTATGAAACAGACAGTGTTAACACACTATCCGCTATCACTATCATAGATTGTAGTCATTTTTTAAACTACTGGTGTTTCAGAAAATCAGTGATATGTTAGTCATCGGTAGTAAATCGCCGCGTGGCGCCACAGGCAATAGTGTTATTACGTTAAAAATACAGCGACGCACACAGCGCTACCGCAGCATTAGAGATTCGATCAATTAAAAATTAATTATTTGATTGGAACTATAATGCTTCGAGGGCGCTACGTATAACATTGCATTAAACATAACAGAATACTAAAGTTGGTTAGTTGTATTTTGCGCGACGGGGTTAATATAAGCGGTTATTATATCGCACCCCCGGTGCGACACTGTCACTTTTGCAAAAAATACAAAAATTAGTTAAATATGTAATAATTGTCCTAAAGCCCCCTTTACTTGGTGCGATAATGTTACTTTTGTAGATGAATCATACGGAATTATGTTCCGTATGATTCATTTCATCTGTATCTTCTAAAGTCATTGTTTTGTGAGGTGGCAGAGTTTAAAACTCTTCTCCTGAAAAACTAAATTTTTGCATAAGTGACAGTGTCGCACCGGGAGTGCGATATTTAGCCCTGTCCGGGTAAGTTTCATATATTTAGTGGGCAATTGCTCAAATTGAATGAAAAAATTAGTTACTACGCTTGTGGTTCCATGCGGCACTGGTAAAATACAACTAATGCTTTATACTTGTATTATATGAAACCGCGCGAGGCTGGCTATATATAACTGCAGCTTTACTTTCGACCCGTTAGAATTAATTTGCGGTGGGGTTAAGTTTTTGTCATTTGGACCCTTCATCCGGGAAAACTTAAATCTAATTATTCATGAAACTTTTGCTCTCATATTAATGTTATACTGGGTGTCTACACAATACTAAACATTTATTTAGTTTAAAACAAGAATAATATTAATTCCTAATATATATGCGTTTTATTTTATTATTATACCTATCACATATAACTTAACCTAGGTTAAGTAGCTTCTCGTTGGTGAAAGAGTTTTTGAAATCGGTCCAGAAGCATTCCAGCCGGTGCGTCGCATTTTGTAGTAATTTTGCAATTATATTTATCATATTTTTTTTAAATAGGTTAGTATTTATCTGCTAGAAAAAAAAAAATTTATTCCTTACGAACTAATAATTATCCTAGTTTATATTTTATTCAATGTCCTTATCCTACATTGGTTTATATTTATTTATGGAGAAATTCACATTTAGAAAAGCTATTTTCGAAGTTTTTTTGGTTCACATTATAAGATTTCTTTTCTATATTTAATCAATACCTCAATTATTATATAAGAGAATACTCTATATATTTATTTCGTTTGTTTGGATCAGTAGTAGATGTGCCACGTAACAAGTTGTAAATTAAGACTAATTTACAAAAAGCAAAGCCGCTAGGAATTTTTGATTCTGAGAACAAGATAGTCCAAAATTCCCGATTCACGCAAAAATCACGGTCGAAATGTAATAGAGCTGTTCACGCAAACAAACCAATATTTCCTATTTATAACATTAGTGAACATCTTTCATTCATTACGGTATGGTATGATTTTCATGACAAAAATAAAAAATCTGCATTTTTCTGCATGTCACGTTCAATAAATACTATACAAAATATTCAGTGAACACGTACTTTGCTGGCTTTAACTTTAAAAAATATATGCAGTGTTGAATAGTGACAAACATACGGTTTAACCACAGTCTTGTTGCTTTCTCGAGCGGATTCACGATTGAGAGGAGTTTATATGGGCAAGTTGAATATCTACATCTATATTTCTATCATTTTGTCGTAAAAGATTCACTTAATCTTGCTAACTACCCACTACGGACCAAATTTTAACCGTTGTCATTGACAGCGCCAGTCTGGTGCTGCCACTAGTAATAATTAATATAAAGGGTGTCACGGACGGTGCGCGACACGGTTGCACTGATCCATCGCTTAAGTGAGACCATCAATCGAGTTGCGTTTTGGTCGTCGATCTTCATATAAGCAGAATGAATTGCTCCGGGTGTTTAAATATTATCACTGACCCTGATTCTATGGTAACATGCTCAAAATGTCGAGTATCTTTCCATAACTCTTGTGTGGCATCATCACTAGAAGGAATTGTTAAGGATCAAACTACATGGATGTGTCCTGCATGCAAACCTAAGAGAGGTAATGCTGATGGTACCCCTGTGCGAACTAGTAATCCCCTTAAGTTAGCCCATGAGCCAAATGTTACGGTGCGCAGCAAAAAAGGCGTGGCAGCAGCTTCTCCCGTCAATATGGAGACTGATGGTCCAGTAACGTCCATTGAAGTACGAAGTATAATACGGTCGGAGATAGCGGCACTTACGAAACATTTAAATGAAACATTAGCACAGTATGTAAATAAAGAACTTAAGTCTATTAAAGCTGAAATTGAGCAGGTCAAGGAATCTATGAACTTCATGAACGATAAATATGAGGAAATCAAGTCTGACATATCTACGAAGTTTATGGCGATACATGAACTTCAGAAAGAGAATGAGCAATTAAAAATTGCATTTAAGGACATGAACCTGAGACTTGATGTTATGGAGCAACAATCCCGCTCTTCAAATGTGGAAATACAGTGTTTACCAGAACACAAGGGAGAAAACCTTGTATCTACTGTCATGAATATTGGGAAAGTCATATCATGCTCGATAGCGGAGAGTAATATACACCGGGTAACTCGGATTGCCAAGCTTAATGCTTCTAGCAACCGACCTAAGTCAATAATTGTGCAGTTCAACAGCCCGAGAATTCGCGACAGTTTTTTAGCAGCATCTATTAAATTTAATAAAAATAAGAAACCCGAAGACAGATTAAACAGCAGCCTCATTGGGATTGGGGGAAAAAGGGAAAATGTATATATAGTGGATCATCTATCACCGAAGAACAAGAGTTTACACGCTGCCGCTAGGTTGAAAGCTAAGGAATTAAGTTATCGATATGTATGGGTTAGAAAAGGAAGAATATACATGAGGAAAACGGAAGATTCTGATTACATATATATTAAAGATACTGATATGCTTGGCAGGCTTGTATAGTTGGTGTGTGCTTTTGTCGCTGACCTTGTTCTTTGTGTTTTGGGACTTTAACTAGAAAATTCACAGATATCACTGTTTATTACCAAAATGTAAGAGGTATTAGGACTAAGTTGATTGATATTTATTGTAAGATAGCCTGTAATAACTATGATATTATTGTTTTCACTGAGACCTGGCTGGTGGATGGTATATATGACACTGAAATCATTGACGAGCGCTATACACTTTTTAGGCGTGACAGAACAAGTACTATCTATAATAAAAAAACTGATGGTGGTGGTGTTCTTATAGCAGTCTCCAAAAAAATTAAATCTTATAGACTTTTCGATTATGAGACTCCCTGTGGTGAGCTTTGGGTTAGGCTGATATTGCCGAACGGCGTTGTTCCTCGGGAGGTCTGTTTGTGTGCAGTATATTTTTCGCCGCCAGTAAAAAGTAATGTTTTGAATCATTTTATAGAAAATACCAATGACATATTTGAACTGGAGCAATCTCATGTGAGAATATTAATTCTGGGCGATTTTAATGTAAGCACGATAGATTGGTTGAATAGAGATGGATCTGTAGTTGATATGCCTCAAAATATGGGCTCTCAATTAGAACAGTTATTATTGGATTTTTTGGCATTGAATGATTTGAGACAATTCAATTATCTGTTAAATCATAATGGTAGAATTCTTGATTTGGTGCTTTCTAATATCGACACCATTACATTGAAGGAAGCTACTCACGTATTATCAAAAAAAGATCCTCATCATCCACCATTGCAGGCTTTGCTAACGCTAACCAATAAAATAATACCCCAAAAAACAAGCCGCCCTTCTAGATTAAATTATTTTAAAGGGGATTATGTTTCTATTGTTGGAGAACTGGAAAAATAGACTGGTATGATAGGTTATATAGGTGCGATTCAGTTGATGACGCGGTTCATGAATTCTATGCTATTATTCGCGACCTTATTCATAGGCATATTCCCCGAGGAGCAATAAGAAGCAGGAGGTATCCCTTTTGGTTCTCAAAACAACTTATTAGACGATTGAATGAAAAGAATAGATTAAGATTAAGGATAAAAAAATATAACAATCCTCTGGATATAATTGAATTTGATCTCCTTAAAAAACGATGTGATCGCATGGCTGTGGTTTGTTATAACTCTTATACTGCGGGTTTGGAAGATAAGATAGCGCGTAATCCTAAACTGTTTTGGAGTTACTTAAAGCATAAAAGAGGTGCAGTTAGTAATTATCCTAGTGTCATGTCATATGGAGATAACAGTTCTGACGATGGCAAAGAAATATGTAACTTCTTTGCTTTACATTTTTCCGGGGTATATACAAATCCCATTAACGATCCTCATCAAGCTTATTCAAATAATGTAAACTCTAGTAACAATAATATTTTAAACAATGTATCTTTCAGCGAAAGCGAAGTTTTGTGCAGATTGAATCGATTCGATGTAAACAAAGGAGCTGGTCCTGATGAAATCCCGCCTGTGTTTATATCTAGAACTGCCGGAAAGCTGGCCCTTCCGTTGATGATTATATATAATAGATCCCTGCACGAGGGTGTGTTTCCAACAGTTTGGAAAGAGACAAAAATAGTTCCAGTTTTTAAAGCCGGAGATAAAACAAATGTAACCAACTATAGACCGATTGCTATTTTATCCGTCATTGCCAAAGTCTTTGAAGCTCTTATTTGTCCTATATTGTGGTGGCATTTGAAACAGTTACTATCAATCAAACAGCATGGGTTTATAAAAGGTAGATCGACTGCTACTAACTTGGTTACTTGTGTCGAGGATCTTGTAGAGGCAGTTGATTCACGGGTACAGGTTGATGCGGTATACACTGATTTCTGCAAGGCCTTCGACACGGTAAACCATGATATTCTAATTGGAAAATTGGTTGGTTGTGGAGTTTCAGAGCCACTGCTTGGATGGTTTCGATCATATCTCACACAACGTGATCTGACAGTTGTGATGAATGGACTCAGATCCTATCCTTATATAGCAACATCGGGTATTCCACAGGGGTCTCACTTGGGTCCTTATCTGTTCAATATTTTTATTAATGATGTGGAGCAGTGTTTCCGGCATTCTAGTCTGTACATGTTTGCTGATGATATAAAAGCTACTAAAACAATAAGAAATTATAGAGATTCGGAGTTGTTTCAAAGGGATTTGGATAAATTCATGGTGTGGTGTCAGCAAAATAAAATGACGCTCAATATAAAAAAGTGTAAGCATATAAAATTCACTCGTAATCGCAATGTAATACATACTAAATACAAATTAAATGAAGAAATTCTCGACGAAGTTCAGGAAATCCGGGATTTGGGCGTTCATATCGACAAACAATTGCATTTTAATAATCATATTAATACCTGTGTCTTAAAGGCTTCAAAAATGCTTGGCTTTGTAATAAGGGAATGCAAAAATTTCAAAAAACCTCTAACTAAGATGGTCATGTACAACTCTCTGGTCAGAAGTCATTTGGAGTATTGTAGTATAGTTTGGTCACCTACCTATAAAATACACATACAACGCATTGAAAAGTTGCAAATTAAATTTATAAGGCACTTGACATTTTCATGCAAAATAAGAAAAAAAGTCAAACTATATGAAGATCGTTTAAAACATTTTCATATGTCTACATTAGAATCGCGAAGAAAAATAACGGATATAATATTTCTAAAAAGACTTGTGATGGGATCTGCTGACTGTCCCGATCTACTTTCTAAATTAAACTTTAATATTCCATGTCATTTACCGAGATCTGGCAGTAGCAAACTTTTCCATCCACCTAAGAGTCGTACAAATCTAAAGTTGCACTGTCCTTTATCGCGAGCAACTGCATTTTATAAGGAATACCAAAATAATATCGACCTTGTTTTGACTTCCATACCTGCTATTAAGAAACTATTCATACACTAGAATTGTAACGTGTATTATATATTTCTTTTATTATTTTTATTTTTAAGTTAAAACTATAGCCAGTATAAACGCGTTCTCATATATGGACGTTTCGGTCGCTCGGCTGTGACGCGCGTGCTTGTCTCTCATAGTGCTGCTGTGGCTCGCCTGGAGCGCCTATGTGTGGGAGAAGTGTGTAATGATCTAACAATGCAAGCGGTGCCCTCCTATAAGTAATGGGACACTTAGTATATAACCTTGTCATTATGTAATTTTTATTGTAGTTTTAGTGTACTCATTGTTGTGAGAGCCTCAAGCAAGGCAACATAATATATACTGTGGAAAATCTATACAAGATTAAATTTAAAACAATGTTTGTTATAGAAACCCATTAGAAATGTCATTATTGACTAGATATTATAAGTAAGATCAGAGAAATTTATTAAGATTTGACATATCTTTCACATTAAGTTGTATACAAATTAAATTCTTGTAGTTGCATAGACTGCTCGCAGCTGTCATCCATGCTGACTATGAGCAAATTAAGTATAAGTTTCAACTGATATAAAAGAACTTACACATATAAATTCCTGCAAATTGAACAAGAGCTCCTGATTCACAGGCTTATTTTTTTTTGTTCTAAATTGTAACCCATCATAGTGTATGACAGTTTTCTTTGGTTAAAATTGGTGGTTGGTTTTAACTTTGTGTCAAAAACAGTAGAATATGTATTTTTCATGTAGGTAATACTAATTAGGCTGAACATTTATCTTGCACGCAACTTAATATATGGTTACAGAAAGCCTCATGTTATTTCAAATGTTACATAAAACTGAGCTGCGGCTAAGCTCAATTTTATGTAATTTTTAAAATTAAAAATAATTCAGAATAAAATCTTATAAACAGTATATTTACCTGTTTAACAATCCTTTAAACATGATGATGATTATGTAATAATCCTTTATAATATTATAATCTTCAAATAAAAAAGTGAGTAATACTTATGTCAGAAAAAAAAAATTCATAATTATAATTTTTTAATTAAGATTATTATTAGATCATATTTTCTTTTTAATGTTATTGATAAAATTTACACCCCTGTCTTCATAAATTGTTATCTCTCTCTCTCCATCCCATGATTGCCTGGAAGAAATCACTTTAAGCGATAAGGCCGCCAATTGTGACATTATTTTGTTAAACTGTTTTAAATTTGTATACCTATATAACTTGTGTAATGTTAACAATAAAGAATTTTCTATTCTATTCTCTATAATGGTATTATTAATATAGTTTTGGTGAACTTCCTAAACATAAATGAGCATATGCTCACTAGTAATGCAAGTAATTCTTAAATTCACAAAACCTGCTGGTTATCTGGTAGTTAAATTGGTTTTAGCAGACGCCCAGACTGTGAGTGTTTATGGGTTTAAATCCCACCTCAAGCACTAATTGCTTAAAGTGGGTTTTTTAATTATTTTCCTTTAAGATAAATATCGATATAGTATTGCAAATGCAAAAGTGATCAGAAAAAATAATGATAAATTAATTAATTTGTAAACAAGGACTTTTTCAGTGCCATTTTTATTGGAATTCCACACATGCTTGTAAATACACACTTTTAAGTTTTCCTGTAAAAATACTACAATAGTTTACTTTTTTCAATACAAAATATTCAAAAATTCATGTTTTTATAATCATAGATAAGTTTACTTAAAGCCAAAAGCCCCTACAATCTAATTATGATTTTTACGATGTTCCTATTTACAATGATTGTTTATAATTATGTAAAGTTTTAACAGAAATATAATTTTTCAATTTTAATTTACATTACATGCCTCAACTAGGTGGACCTTATTTATGTTAAGAATCTACATAATATGAATTCAACATTTCAAATTGATAGAGGAATGAAAACCTATTAATTTATCTATAAAATGTAAGTTTTTAATAAAAAATAATAATTTAAGATTAATAATCAAGATATAATTTATTTTATTTTTAAAGTCTGCCAACATTTTTGCATATCAATAAGCAACCACAAAATTACAGAACTATCTATAACAAATAGATGAAACGGTGTACATAAAAA